GCAGTGTGGGCCCTGTCCCTCCAACTTGCAGGAGGAAGTGGTTCTGAGGGCTGGACCTGGTCCGCCCTGCCCACTGTCACTTCCTGGTTCTTATCACGACGACCTCATCTGCTCTGTCTCCCACACCCACTGGGCTTCTCTTTACATCCAGCTCAGCCCTGCCCAGGGATCACTGGGCTGCTTTGCTTACTCCTGGGGAGTTAGGTAGGCTCGAGTTGGGGGACTTCCTCCCTCTCCACTGTGGCACGGGATAGGTACCTGAGGCCCTGTGGCTGCTCAGTCCCAATGTGTCACCTAGCCAAGCTTTTCCTCCTTCCCAGGCATACCTGTGGACCCACAGGCATCTTTTCACTCCTATGTCCTCGTCTGGACGCCAATCTCTGTGCCCCCGCCTCCTGATACATCTATGACCTATTCCAGGGGGATTACTTCCTGATCTCCTAAGAGAAGAATCTCTCTCCTGCTTTTGCACCGTGGCTGATTTTATGTTATCCATAAATACACACAGAGGATCAAGTGGTATTTAATACCCAGAAGCCACTTTAGGCAGAACGAGTTTCCTCAAGTATGGAAGACAAGATACCTTTGGGGAGCTTCTCTAAGAACAAACAGTGAGCAGGTCTGTCCTTCCTTAAAAGTAAGAGCTGGGTGGCAGCAAGAGGCTTGCAGAGCAAGCCTGGTGACCTGAGTTTGAACCCCACAACCCACATAAAGGTAAACGGAAAGAAACAACTCTCTAGAATTGTCCTCTGACTTCCAGACAGGCTGGCACACCCCTCCTCCCACACACAATGGTAATAAAAAACTCCACAACAGGCCAAGGAACTTTTTTTTTTTTTTTTGGTGCTCAGGACTGAACCTAAGGCTCTGCACATGTTAAACCTAAGCTCAGCTGGGCGGTGGTGGCGCACTCCTTTAATCCCAGCACTCGGGAGGCAGAGGTAGGTGGATCTCTGTGAGTTTGAGGCCAGCCTGGTCTACAGGGTGAGTTCCAGGATAGGTAGGACCCTTACACAGAGAAACCCTGCCTTGAAAAACAAAACGACAAAACAAAAACACACACACACAAAAAACCCTATTCTCTGTCTCGAGCAAGTCTGTAGCCAGCAACAGACACTCCAGTGGCAGCCTGCATCCCTGTCCCCAGGCCACACTTAAACTGGGGGCACATACCAAAGGGTTTAAAAGGCGGCTTTTTCGGTTGCCATTTTTCCTGGAATAGTGCCAGCTGAAAGGATTTCCCTGTTTTTAAGAGGTTTTGTGGCAGATTTTTAATTTTGGTTACTGTTGAAAAAAACCATGGAGCCACGGGGTATGGTTCCTCACACACAGATGCTTAGTGTTACAAATTCTCCATCCTTGTAACCCGCGTTACACACATCCTGGAAGAAGAGCTGGCCTATGAGAGCAGGGGTTCCGTGAGGCCCACCAGAACAGGCACCACTAGATTGGAAGGGAAGAAAGAAATCCTTATCCCTCGATCCCCCAAGCCTGAAGAGGCCTCTTTATAATCACCAGGCACATGTGGAAACCATTGTCTTTTATTTACTAGATTTCCACTCGCGGCTGCCAGCGAGCGCTCATGCGCATCCTGTCGGGAGTTTCATTGGTTTCCTGTTGTGTGTGATCTGCCGGGATGCAGAACACACTGACATTCATCCAGCCCCTAGCAACAGGCTCGGCGAGACCTCAGGCTGACTTTCTGGGAGACGTCTTTATAAGCCGCGTGGTCACGAGGTGGGTGAGGCAGGGCAAGCAGGCATCAGGTGTATCCCATACCCGACTGCAGGCACCAGATTTTGTTCCTGGAAGCTCTGCCTCACCTTGTGCCAGGTTCGGGAGGTCCTGTGGTCAGTGTCCCTGACTGAGGGAGAAGCTGGCTTCCCTTTCCGTGGGGCTGGCTCACAATGCTGCCACTGGCTTGTGCAAAAGACACAGCACCAACCGGGAGAAGGGCTTCCCACATCAAGTACCTTCCAGAACTTTCCAGCTTTGTTCCCAGAGGAAACACACGGAGTGTTTGCGCAGGGCAGGAACCAAGAACTAGGAAGGGTGGGCTTCGGCCTTGACTGACTGCTGTCAGCAAATCTTCAGGGCAGACCAAGTGAGGATAAGACATCTTAGGGGACCAGGAACTGTGTGGCTGGTGCTGTCTCTGATGCGTGTTTCTAGAGTTTTGTGGCCTGTGAGAGGCCAGTCTGTGAGAGGGGCTTCATGGCTAGCAACACGAAAGGTTTCCTAGACCTGCAAGTTAGGTCTGTTGAGTGAAGGAGCTTTGTCCACCCTGTTCTGAGCTGTCGTGGATCCGCTGACGTTCTAGCCGCCATTGTGCCAGGGCTGGCGGCAATGTCTTGCTGGTTCCCTTACAAGTCAGGAAATCTTGGTTTTGTTTGTTTTTTGAGACAGGGTCTTTCTGTGTAACAGCCCTGGATGTCCTGGAACTCAAACCTCTGTAGACCAGGCTGGCCTTGAACTCACAGAGATCCGCCTGCCTCTGCCTCTGGCGTTAAAGGTGTGTGCCACCACACCTGGCAACAAGTCATGAAATTTATAAGTGCATATTTTATGTTTGTACAGGAAACATGATTTTACCTTAAGTCTTCCCCACTCGGACCATCACGGTTTACTGACAGGCACCCAAACGCTGGAGGTAGAAAAACACATAGCAAGCCCTTCTCTGAGGGAGTTCACAGCAAGGGAGACATACATACATATACATCCGCTGAAGGTCAAAGCAGATGGACCCAAAGGAAAACACCACGGGAGAGATGCAAACCCTAAACAACCCAGGCCAGATGCTTCCAGGGCCAGTGAGAGAGCCAGTACAAAGAAACACGGGCAAAGAAACTTGACCGTAGTGCACGGGCATTACTCCTGGGACCAGGCCTTGCCGCTGTGGGTGCTGAAGCTGCTTATGGCCATTGTCCCGGCATCACTTTCTGCACTGAGGTGACCTGGGTGGAGCTGCTGGGACTCCCGAGCCCTAGAAATGCTGACTAGACCATACCAGTTCTTTGCGGTCTCACCCCTTGGGAGCTCCAAGGCTGGGCTGGGCTGGGCTGCCTTCCCTCAGGCTTGTTCCTACTCACAAGAGACGTGGTCAGGGCCAGGGCAGTGTGGAGACAGGGCCATCGGGGTGCACAAAGGGGACCATTGACTGCTGAGCCTTTTTGGTGGCTCTGGCTCGGGGGCGGTGATGGAACAGGGAGAAAGGGCTCTATGAGGCAAGGGCAGGGGATGACTCTGGAGTGCGGAGATGGGGCCTGGGCACAATGTCCTTTCTCTCATGCACAGGAAAACCAGTATTTCCTCCCAGTGGTGACTACAGAGTAATCAGAGCTGCCCCGGTCAGGAGAAAGATCTCAGACTTCCTACGCATGGCTTAGTTCCATACCATGGAAGTAACAGTGTGGGGAGCTCAGGGCCTGGGCATCCTGAGGCAGCTGTGGCCAGGCTTCAAGCAGGAGAAAGGAAAGAATCTCAGACACATTCAGGAGTGAGAAGCAGGGGGGTGACAACAGAATTCCCAACAGGCAACAGGAACGCCACCAGTCACAATGGACGTAACTTATACCCAACCGGTCTGGGAGAAGACCAGTTCAGTCCAGGGCTTCTCAGATAGAATCACACCAAAGGCCAAAGCTGGGGAACTCGAACTACAAATTGGTCCCTACAAAATGTGCCCTACGGCTGGGCAGTGATGGTACATGCCAGCACTCAGGAGGCAGAGGCAGGCGGGGTCTCTGTGAGTATGAGGCCAGCCTGGTCTACAGAGCGAGTTCTAAGACAGGCTCCATAGCTACAGAAAACAAAAACACACAAACAAAAAGTGCCCTATGTAGGCAGTATGGCTCATTGTGCCAACTGCACACAGCGAGGGCTTCAGCTTATGATTTTATATTAACTGTGCTGACCTAGGTAAGCAGTATCTGTGAGTGTATTTCTTAGCATGTTTCTATGTCACATGTGAAAACACAGAATAAGCAAAGCAGAGGTCCTTCCCAGAGTGGGGGAGGTGGGAATCAGTGAACACCCATCCCCAGGGCTGAGGGGCTGGGCAGTCTGTCCTGGCCCTCCATAGCTGGCTTTCCTGGTCTCAGGTGCACGGTCCATGACAAGAATACTTCTAGATCAGGACCTTTGGCCTTAATAACCAGTTTGATAAAACAGTGAGACGGTTCACTGCCGGAGGGCTGGAACAATGATCTGAGATCTGTGTCTAGCTTCTTCTGGAGTTTGCCTTAAGCACCATTTCCCCTTTGCCCAGTTGGTTTTTAGATCAGATTTTATTATTTAGCTCAGGCTGGCCTCAAACTCATAATCCTCCTGCCTCTGTTTTCTAAGAGTCACATCTGGCTCAGCTTTGCCAGTTTTTATCCTTTTGGTTCGATAAATCCTTGCCTTGAGCAGGGGCTGCAAAGCCCCCACGGAGTCCTGCTAGCGACAGACCAAGCGGGGGACGGCTGCAGGGACATGGTGGATAAACACGTTAGTCCAAGTCAGCTGGTCCCCGGATTCTCCACAGCGCACGGCTGTGCTCTTAGGCCACAGAAGCTCAAACATTTTTAAAGCAGCAGAATTTCAGCATATATCGTAAAGCTCAGAAGTGACACCTGAAGTGCCAAGTAGTGCATGTCTCTGCTCGGCGAGCAGCAGCACAGGATATCCGCGATTGCTCCGGCACCCTGCGTCGGACCTACGACCTGCACTTGGTAGGGTGCCTTCGAGAAGGTCCCACGAATGGTGTCACATATACTCGGAGGCGTGAAGTCTACTGAACATAACGCCGACTAATGGGAACCACAAAGTAAGTACGATGACCTAAAAACAACCCACGCTCGTGGTTGGAGGAGGCCCGTGCGGGACACCTGGGACTGCACCTGTGCGGGACACCTGGGACTGCACCTGTGCGGGACACCTGGGACTGCAGTTCAGCTTGGCATCTGGGGGGGGTCCGTATCAGAAAGCAGCAGAACCTAAGGAAACCCGTTCCTCCTTACCGGCTTGTTGTCTGGAAACAGGAGTGTAAGCCAACCAGGAAGGGGTTGCTGGATGCCTGCTCAAACACGTGCTTCTCGGTCTGCACCCAGTCAATATCCTGAAACAGAGACCAAGCAGCGCCAGTGAGGCTCCTGAGTGCCGCACGGGGTGCCCTGGAGAAGGCAGGGGCGAGACGGGAAAGGATTTCTTCTCTGAGGTCGAGAAGACAGTTTGCAGGTGGAGAAGAAATGCATCACAAGCAGGTGTGGTGGCTCACACCTGTGGTCCCAGCACTGAGGCAGGTAAGGCAGGAAGATTGTTGCAAGTTCAATACCAGCTTGGGCTATACAGTAAGTTCCTAGGCAGCCTGCAGTCTGAGAGAGAATGATGCTGTCTCAAACAAGCAAAACAAAACAAAAAAATACCAAGCTATCACCATCACTACCATCATCCACCCTGTAATCCTCATCCTGACACCATTGTCCCTTAGGGTCATCGCTACCATCACCACCATCACCCACCCATCCCCGCTTCTGTCATCACCATCATCGCCATCTCCATGGCACCTCCATCAGCCTCCCCCGCCTCAAGATGCTTGCTGGGGTTGGCTCTCCATACCCTGGCTTGTGTTCCCCATCAAAGTTATTGAAAGGTTGTTTCGTAATCAATTAGGACACACCGAAGGAAGGAAGACTAAGGAGGATTCCTAAGGCCCACGGTCACCGAGTCTGCAGACAAGCCGCAGTTAGGTCCGGGGCTCAGCTGCTGCCACAGGGCCACCTCCTCCAGCTCTGTGCAGCTCGGTGGGATTCTGCAAGGTCTGAGACTACAGCTTGGCTCCACCACTGCCCCAGGGAACAGAGTGGGGTGAGGCTCCCAAGCCCATCTTGATATGCAGAAAAGGGAGAAGGTAGAGACATGTTCAAATAGTGCTGTCTTCACTGGAAGGTTTTTGGAAAAGAAGACAAGCATCCAATTAGTGGGCTGGAGACAGCCATGGTATGCCCTCTGTTGCTCCTGATCCCTAGAAGCTAAAGCATGAATATCAAAAACCCGGAGATAGACAGATATTGGGGTTCAAGCTGACGATCAGAAGAGCAAAGCAGCCAGGCCACTAGAGTGTCTCAGTCTGCAGTCACTCTGAGAACAGGATCGCCCCTCTATTTGTCCAAGTCTTGGTAGCAGTAAGAACTCTCTAGTGGTTGGCTGCTTTGCTTTTCTGATCCTCAGCTTGAACCCCAACATCTATCTCTGGGCTTTTATTATTTGTGCTACAAGGAGCTCCTCCTGGTGGAACAGCTTCGGCCTTTCTCCACGCAGAAGACACCTAGGCATACTTCGTCCCGACTCTAGACCTGCTCACCCTGTGGCTACCCGACCTGATTGTCACACTCAGGCAGCCCACCCAGATTCCTGGGTGGAAACCCAGCGGGTTGGCTGTCTTGCACCTCTCCCAAGCCTGGGCCACCCTGCCCCAGTGGCTACCCGACCTGTCACAGGCAGCCCACCCAGATTCCTGGGTGGAAACCCAGCGGGTTGGCTGTCTTCCACCTCTCCCAAGCCTGGGCCACCCTGCCCCAGAAGCATTACTATAGGCTCTAATGAACACCTGGCACCATGCGGGGCTGACGCTGCAGCACAAAAAGAGGGGGCTTGACAGCAGCTCGGCAGGGAACAAGCTGGAAGGGCACCGGGAGAACCAATGCATTAGGAGATGATTTTATTTGAAACCAGCCAAGCCTTGGCAAACCAGCACTGCATAACAATGCCTGGGGCCAGGCGGGACAAAGCTGGTGAGTTCCCCTGGAGAGAAGCTGCTGAGGGGCTGTGTGTCCCAGGAGCCTCAGCTCTGTGCAAGCAGAGACCAGGTTCAAGGACACCAGGAGCCACTGGGTGTTTGCCAATGGGGGACTCGAGGGAGCTCAGGCCTTGTTCAGGTCCCAGACAAAGCAACCTGGGAAAGGCAAGACACTTGGGAAGCAGTGGCTACGGTGCAGCCAGGGGCAAAGGTGACTCAAGAAGAGAACCAGTTTTAGCTCAGGAGGGTAAGGCTCAGGAGGGAGAGGTGACACCTGGTGGTGAGGACAGGCTTAAGTCATGGGGACACCCACTCACTCAGCAGTTCAGCATCCAGGGACACAGGGACAACCTGACGGGCTGTTGTAGCACAAATAATAAAAACTCAGGGGCAGATATTGGGTTCAACCTGAAGATCAGAAAAGCAAAGCGGCCAGGCCACTAGAGAGGTCTCACCTCTCTGACATCTTCAGACTGAAAGAGAGCGAGTGCCTGTCGTATCCCACCTTACACCTCTCTAGTGCGGGGATTAAAGGTGTGCACCACCACTGCCTGGCTTGTATGGTTGACCAGTGTGGCTGTTTTACGCTCTGATCTTCAGGCAAGCTTTATTTAGTAAAACACAAGTTAAATATCACTACAGGCTGTGCACTGTACAAATGCACCCTTCACATGCAAGTCAGCAAGAGTTGCTGCAAGTCAAGGCCACAGTGGGTACTCACACACGTACTGGGAGGGAAGGGCACACAGTGGGTACTCACATACGTACTGGCAGGGAAAGGCACACAGTGGGTACTCACACACATACTGGGAGGGAAACAACAAAGTCAGAAAGTAAGTGTTGGTGAAGATGGAAGATGGAGCCCTGTGTCCCACTGGCAGGAACATAAAATGATACAACCATGTTGGACACAGTTTGGGAATTTCTCCAGAAACTGCACCCAGAATTACCACGCGACTCTCTGGTGGGCTCGCACTCACCTCGTCATCATGGACTAGTTCCTTCTTCACCACCTTCATAGCATAGATCTGGTCGTTCTTCTTCAGCCGCACCAGGAGGACCTTGGCATAGCTCCCACGCCCGATAACTCTGATGAGGTCGAAGTCCTGCAGCCCCAGCCCCTGAGAGATTTTGATCCCATCTACCCCGTCGATGACAGGCTTAAGGTCCTAGGGAGACCAGAGAGGGCAGGGGACACCATTGGCCAGAATCCAAGAATTGTTCACCCTCACACGGAAGGCGGCAAGGCCTATTCTTCAGCGTGGAGCCAGGCCCATGCTCCAGCACCTGGTCCCATCTAACTCTGGTTAGAACAACTAGAGCCAAGACCGTGGGCTTCTAAGAGAAAACCAGAAACATAGCTGTGCCTCCGTGAGGGTTCTAGGGGACGCGGGGGCTGTTCACTAGGTGAGGCTATTTAGGCTGTGAACCTGGGCGTGTTCTGTAAGAGTAGGAAGTTCAGTGACCTGGCTCCATGAGGATGGGAGAGTGGGGACTTGCTTCAGGAGTGGAAGGGAAGCAGCATGTGTTCCATGAGGCTGGGGCGGGTGGAGAAAACAGAGCCCATGGCCCCACTTGGTTCAGTGAGGGAGGGGCAGAGAGGGTGGGGCCTGTTCTGTGAGGTGATCAGCAAAGGCTGTGAGCACAATATGTTCTTCTGCTACCCCAAACAGATTCATCCCCAGAGCTGCAGGTATGAGGCTGGACAGAGACAGATGGAGCCCCGTGAGTCAGATTCCAGGAAAAGGTCTGACTGAGGGAGCAGCTGAGGGCTTGCCAGACCAGGAAGGACAAAGGAAGCCACAAAGAGGGGCAGCTTAGGAGCAGACAAAAGTGTGGCGAATTCATGACTGTCATCAGGCCATTGGTCTCATTGGAGCCCAGCTCAGGAACTTCCTAATATCCCTCGGCCATACTGAAATCCATGTAACTGCCCCAGGAGCAAACTAACAGGCTTCCTGAAAAGACCCCGGCAACACTAATTTTATTCACTTACCTCAGAATCGTCTTTGATATTGTCATGTTTCCGAGATGAAGAAATATAAGCAACTAGGAAAGAGAAGGAAGGAAAGAAGGGTATTAAAAGGGTCACAGGAGCACAAGGACCCAGAGGACCCTCACCCCAGTGCAGGGAGCTGGGGCCTCAGACAGGACGGCAGCGCTCAGGGGCCAATCTGTCACACCAGACCCCAGCTTAAGGAGTGCTAGGCTGTGTGACCATGGGGGAGGGTAGGATACTGGGAAGAAGCCACAAGCTCCTTGGCTTAAGACGAGGTCACGGCCTGATAAATCCATCAGGCTGGAAGTCTTGGTGCTGAAAACACAGTGTGCACGGTTTAGAGCTGGGTGTTGTGGGGCGTGCCTGTACTCCTAGCACCTGGGAAGCTAAGCAGGAGGATCGTACAGGGTCACGTAGTAAGACTGTCTCAAACAGATAAAGGGGGCTGGAGACAGGAGGATCCCTAGCAACAACATATAAACATACACACACACTCTGTGTGCATACACATGTGCACACACACACAGAGAAAGAGAGAGTATTGAAGGAGGAGGAGCAAAAGAAGAAAATACATTCAATATACCATCTAATAATGACTGAACATATACCCACAGTGGAAATACGGATGTGTGGGTAGACTTCTGCACTACCGTAGAGTGTAAAATCATTGAACGTCTGGGACCATATGGAGGCACGAGGTTTTGGTGCATCATCTTCCAGTTCTTCTTAGGAGGGTGTGGATAGAGGGGACATAGGTCAGTTCACGGCAGAACGGGGGAGGGCAGACAATGGGTGGACGATGGATGGTGGTGAGGAAGGGATGGATACGTGGGAGGGGAAATGATAAATAGATGGACAGACGGATGATAGGCGGTTACAGGGATGAATAAGTGAGTGCTAGACATGATGGACAGGTGGACGAATAATGGGTAAGTAGAGAGCTGATGGACAGTGTGTGTGTGTGTGTGTGTGAGAGAGAGAGAATGATGGACGGATGGGTGGGTAGGTAGGAAGAGTACCTGAAGGAACAACCCCTCCCTCTCTCTCTCTCTCTCTCTCTCTCTCTCTCTCTCTCTCTCTCTCTCTCTTTCTCTCTCTCTCTGAGACGGGGTCTCACTATACAGCCCTGGCTGACCTGGAACTTGCCAGTAGACCAGGCTGGCTTTGAACTCATGAAAAAAATCCACTTGCCTTTGCCTCCCAAGTGCTTAGACTAAAGGCATATGTCACCGAACCTGACTTTTATTTTTTTTTTAAGCAGCTACGTGTCATACAGAGCCCACCTCCGTGGAGGTCAGCTCTGTGTGGTGCCCCGTGCGTGGAAGGTGCCTGGCCTGGGGGGTCACATATCAAGTACTGTGCAGAGCAACTGGAATCGGCACAGAGGAAGATGCTCTCAGCCTCAGGTTCCCAGCGATGAGGGGATTACTGCCCAGCAGCTACCAGGGAAGGCCAGCAGCCTGGGGACAGAGGGGTGGCTGCCTGCAGTGCAGCTTCCCAGCCCAGCCCACCCGCACTGACTGTCGGAGAGCAGGAAGAGGGGGACCCGCTCAGCTGGGGAAAGGGACACCTACTTCCATCGGTTTCCTCTGAAGGAAGGTCTACACCATCGTTCTTGTCATCTACTGGAGGCTCTTGGGAAGGCATGACAGAATCCTGCAAGAAAACGGCGGTGTTGGAGTGACGGGGCAGGAGTTACAACCCCGCTTTGATGTCATGACTACAAACGGCACCGTTGTGCGTGCGAGTGTGTGGGTGTGGGTGTGCGTGCGTGTATTTGTACACACAATGTCTGCCACCTGTGAGTCTACGGGGTGGCGGTCACAGTGGTCACTCGGTCAGGCTCTTAGAGTACTGCCTTCCCAGCAGTTGTTAGATAGAGGGGATGCTCTTCGGCACTCTTGGCAATACCCCCTTGTTACACTGTGGACATCGTGTTGGCAGCCAGGCTCCCGATCGTCAGTCTAAAGGCCCTGGGACCCCGCGTAGCTGAAGTTATATCAGAGACAGCTTATAGTGATGGCCCTTAGGGTCCAACCGCTGACCTCACTGAGCTCTGATAGGTCATATTTCTGGGTTCATTTCATCATCTTAAGGTTAATGTGGTCCTGTAGGGTCAAAGGTCATGTGTGCCATCAGGATTGGGAGCAGACGCAGCAGAAAGGAGCTCTAGGGAGAACGGTGTTGTGGGACACTCATGGCCCAGTCTGGATCCTGTTCTTACTTCGATACATGGAATAGAGATATGCCACCTCGGGGGGGCATCTTTCTTCCTCACTCTGGCAAGATGAAGATGAGCCCTCCCCAGGCCCCGACTCACCATATGCCTCCTGCAGGTCAGCGGGACGAGGACGTGGCAGCGTTTATGGACCAGCAGCTTGCAGTTGATGCACCTGTAGCCCTGCCTCGCGAGACCCCATATCCTTTGGCTGCACTGGCCACAGTAAGCTCTCTGCAGACAGGAACAGCAGCAGTCAGGCCCAGCTGGCTGGCCCTCCCGGGAGCCCAGGCCACACTTCAAACTCAGGCAGACAACAACTTTGCTGGGAAGATACCACACAAGAGGGGTCGGACGCCTCCTTTCTGAGTGCAGGCCCGTCCTAGCCCAGTAGTTCCCTGAAGGTCAGAGGCGGTGAGTGAGACCAGGCTGTGGTGCCTGCCACAGTCAAGAGGAGCACAGCGGAAGCCCTGACTCTCTTTCCAACCGACTGTCACCACCCCAAAGGGCACCACATTCGGACTCGGGAGAACTGTGAATGGCTGCGGCAAATCCTTTATTATTCACGATTTCAATGAATCCGAAAGCAGTGACTGTCGGCTCCTCTGGTGGGACTTCTGTGACTTTTGTAATTTTATAAACTCTGTGCGAGAAGAACCGTGTTCAGAATCTGGCCACACTCTGGCAATAGGACATACTTCTGGCATCTAACTGTGGCCTCTGCATCTACAAACAGAAATGTGGGGCCCCTGCTGTCCCAGAAATAGCAGCTCCCTTAGCCCAGGCTGGCCTCAAACTTGCTATGTTAGCAAGAACGACCGTGACAACCTGCCTCCCCGCAGCGCGTGGCATCTGCGCTGGTGTCCATCTCTAACGCTCTCTGCCTTCTTCCTCCGAGGCAGGGTCCTTCCTGAACCTGGAGCTCATTTGGGGGAACCCAGTGACCCTTCTGTCTCTGTCTCACTCAGAGCCTGCACGACCAGGCCTACCTAGCTTGTCATGCAGGTACTGGGATCCGGACTCAGCTTCTGAGCGTTGTGCAGCAAGCCCTTGCAGCCGCCGAGCCATCTCTCTAGCCCAACCTAAACTTCTGCTTCTCCTGCCTCCATTTCCTGAGTGCTGGGATCACAGGCATGCACAACAATGCCCCGTCTGTCGTGTGCTGCTGGGGTGGGACTCACGGCCTTGTGCATGCTGGGCAAACATTCTCCCAACTGAGCTATGTTCCCAGCCTCTGATCATTCCGAGAAAAGGTCTTGACGTGCAGCCCAGCCTGGCCTCGGCCCCCCGAGTTCTGTGATTATAGATCTGCATCACCTGTAGCCCAGCCTGGCCTCGCCCCCCCCCCCAGTTCTGTAATTATAGATCTGCCTCACCTGTAGTCCAGCCTGGCCTCGGCCTCCCCAGTTCTGTGATTATAGCTCTGCCTCACCGTATTTGGACAAGAGCTACTCTGACCAGGGTCAGCACAGGCAGCTGCTGACCAAGGGCAGCATGAACTTGTCAACATGAACTGGACTGAGACCTCATGTATGTTTCTCAGGGGAGCCACCAAAACTGTACCAATGGCTTTTTTCTTATTTTATTTTCTTCTTATTTTAATTTTTTCCCCCTGAGACGGGGTATCTCTATGTAGCCTTCCTGGCTTGAAACTTGCTATGCTGAACAGGCTGATCTCGAAGTCACAGTGAGCCGCTAGTCTCTGTGTCTACAGTGCTGGGATTAAAGGTGTGTACCACCACACCTAGCAAGGGGCTCTCTATTAAAAGAAAGCTATACTTAAATCATCAACGTTTCTGAAAATGTGCCATTGAAACAATACAGCAAACCCAAAACCCCAGGCTTCTATTCTCAGGAACTCACAGGAAACGGATTAATGGGATAAAAACATTTTAAAGTCTGTCTCACATGCTGCCAATTTGTTCCTTGTTCTTAATTTTCAATCATGTATTTTAATTTTTCACAGATATCAAGCGCTCGTTTTTTGCACTAGGCCAGGCCGCACTTTCCAGCTCGGCTTCTGCTGGCTTCTGACCAGAAGGACCAGTCTCCTACGAGGTTTTTTACGTTGCTGATTGTGAGCCCAGATGTCCAATTTACTATCTGTGGGAATCCTTTCACACTTCCTCAAGAGGGACGGTGCTTGCTTCTGCCAGCCGCCTGGGGACGCTGCTGGGCTGGACCCTCTGAGGGGGCATAAATCCGGCTGTAAGGATGCATGAGGTCCGGTGTGAGGCTTCAAATTCCCAGAAAGAGAATCCCTTCTCCTCTGGGTTACTCGACCTGGGAAGGGTGGGGCTCATGGGGGGACCCAAATCCGTTTCTCTCAGGGCCTCGATTCCAAGTCCTAGCGAAAGGGCATGCAAACCACAGCAGGGGGTGAACCCTAGCTCATGGCCACCACTCCCCCCTTTCTCAGTACATGAAATTTTACTGGAACATAGCTGCACCTATGGGCACACGTACTATCTGCGGCTCTGGGGTCACAGCGGCGGCACTGAATGCTGCAGTACAGGTGTGTGTCTTTAAAAACGGAAAACATAGACTCCAGTCTCTTACAGGAAATGGTTGCGAACCATTTTAGTTTCTTCAGACAAAAGATCTTAGAAGAAACCTTTGACGGTCCTACGGGTGGCATGTCCTAAACCTGTCTTCCTGCCCACTCCGAGAAGCTTCTTTTTCTTGAGATCCCGGAGACAGAGGGCAAGGTACATGATCTCCCCAGACTGTCCTGTAGCATGAGGACCCATGTACAGCGCACAGGGCCACGTGGCCATCACAAGGAAGGAACCATCAACGGCCGGGGTTCGTGTGCAAGAACAGCGTGGGCTGACTGCAGGGGGTGGGTCCTCTCAGACAGAAGCAGGGTAGAAAACATCCTACAAGGCAGAGTCCGTTTCTGCACCCCACCGTGGGGGCTATCCAGACCCCACTGCAGCTCACAGTGAACCCTAAGCAATGATTACGTTCAGTTCCCTTGACACTGTCTGAGAAAGAGGTCTGCCTTTAAAAAGATGTTTGTAAGGGTCAAGCTGTCTGCATTTATAAGCAATTACACTCGTCAGACACCCACAGCCCTGCTCTGTCCTGGCATTTATCAAAGGCTGACTTGAAGAGGTCGCTCTGGTACTCCAGTTCCAGAGGATCAGACTCCCCCTTCTGGCTTCTGTTGGCACTACATGCCCAGGTCGCACAGGCATATAGGAAGGTGAAATTCCCGTATGCATAACATTAAAAATAAGTGTCTCAAAGAAAGGAAGGGAAAAGAAAAAAGGGTAATTTGCAGGAAGCCCAAAATGGCAACCATTTGTGTTCCTTTGATCCTAAAGGGATAACTTTAGGTTTTATTTGTAACACGCATTTTTTTCCCCTAGGACTGGGAGATGGCTCAGTTTGTAAAGTACTTGCCTTGCAAACACAAAGCTTGATGTCAATCACCTATGTGGGGAAAAAAATCCCAGCACTGCGGAGGTAGAGGCTAGCAGGGTCCTGGGATCGGTGGCTAGCTCGGCTAGCCTACCTTATGAATATTACCCTGTGAGTCCCTATCCCAATAGATGGGCATCGCCGGGCAGTGGTGGCGCATGCCTTTAATCCCAGCACTCGGGAGGCAGAGGCAGGCGGATCTCTGTGAGTTCGAGACCAGCCTGGTCTACAGAGCTAGTTCCAGGACAGGCTCCAAAGCCACAGAGAAACCCTGTCTCGAAAAAAACAAAAAGAAAAAAGAAAAAGAAAGAAAAACCAATAGATGGGCATCTGAGAAATGACATCCAAAGTTGCCCTCTGGTATGAGCGCACAAACACACAGATTTTCCTATGCAGTTTCTGCATTTAGTTTGTTTAGAAACCAAGGAAATCTGAATTGTCTAATGTGGCTAAGTCTAAAAACCCCTTTGGTCCCCGGTGCCTGCTTTTTCCCTGGAGGCTGCGTCACTTCTGGTTTTTATCGTTTTCTTAACCTCGCTCTCTGCAACGGGTGGGCAAGAGAGCTCGGATCTTCCATTTCCTTAACCAACATTCTCCGCATAAGGGACAGGCGAGTACGTCTCCCACTGCGTAAATGCTAGGCCTTGGGTCCACAAGGCAGGCCCTGCCCTCTCTGCCAGATGGCCAAAGATGTCACTTCTAGATCCTCCTTTTGAGTCTCACAGAGGAACGTTTTCCTTCTGAGAGCCAGAGTGAGGTTGGAGGGCAAACACGGGGCAGCACAGCTCCTAAGAACTCACACCACATCCCTCTGTTTGCCTTAAAATAAAGAAGGGGCGAGGGAGACGGCAGAGTCAGCAGGTAAAGAGAGTGTGATGTAAGCATGAGGGTCTGAGTTTGACCCCCTAGCGCCCACATAAGTGAGGTAGGTATAGTGCATGCCTATAATCCAAGCACCGGGAACAGACACAGGAGGGTCCTTGGGGTTCACTGGCCAGGCGTTCCAGGTGAATTGAGTTCCAGGCTTACCAAGAGACCCTGTCTCAAGGATTAAAGTGGAAATGACAAAGGGATAACTTGATGCCAACTTGAGGCCTCCAACCAAACCTGTGTATATGTGTATGCATATCTGTCTGCACATGGACACACACGTGACCACACACACTGTGGGAAGAGGCTCCTGGTGCTGTCGGAGTCCTGGCCTGTGTGCCCGGTGGATGGACGAAGTGTATGGGCTTCGTCCTGGCCATCGGTCATCCGTCAGCGAGGGCAACACGCACAAGTGACAACAGCACTTTCAGATCCTCTCCAGTGCCCTGGGAGGAGGTGGCTGCCTAAGACTCCTGCTCTGGCCCGTGATAGGTTCACAGGAGAGAGGGCACCTGGCTGTCCAGATGGCCAGTTGCTTGTTTCACAGACAAATGCTGGGGCTGGCACTGGGTGCTCCAAGGCCAGATGCCTCCGCTTCTCCATATTCCCAGCAGACAACATCTACCCCAGCTATCTGGTTGGCTTGCTGCAAAATCCCGTGAACATATTCTGCCGGGCAGCATCATTCCAGCCCCTGCTGTCCTCTGAGCACCTGGCCTAGCATGCTAATACTCGACATTTGGCACCCCTTTTACCTCTGTCCTGATGATACCAGGCCTCTCCGAGGTGAGCGGCTGTCTGCGGTCTCTCTACTGCCCATGCTGGCTCCCGGAACTCTGCTCATTCTCAGCAAATACAGCCCATTTTTTTGTTCCCCACTGTGCGTCCGCCCAGCTGCCCAACCCGTCTCCCTGAATAACCTTCCAATCGTCGGTCACAGTAAAGAGCAAGGAAGTGTGTTCAGTAGGCGCCTACTACGTTTTAGGCCTGAGGAGTACCAGGAGCATCTTAACGGGATAGCAGAGACGCAGGGTCATTGGAATGGTCCCCAGCCTGGGTCTCAGTGTACCCTGATACTATTTGGGTTCCACTGTGCCTGCTGTATCCTGGATTCCCAGCATCTTTCCGGGCTGACTTCCCAGACACCTCCTTCCAGGAAGTCTCTAGGATCTCTGGGCAGTACCTGGCTGTCTTCCGAGGCACTGGCCCACATCTCTCCCCAGCCCAGTGCTGTCTGAGGTCCGGCTTGTTGCTTCTCAGCCTTCTGCCCGAGATCAAGCACACATATATACTCCTGAGCGGTTGTTCAGGAGCTTTTCCTCTGCCCCACTACCACTCCAGACTCATTAGCCACCGGGGTGGGGGTGGGGGGCAGCCCCAACTTCTTGAGGCATGATGGGGTCAAGAGGTATAGCCCACACCCCCAGGATCACCCGGGAGTACATCTATAGCCTTGAGAAGAGACCAGAGAGGTGCACGCCAGTGGGTGTGAAAGGAGCGTCAGTGGCTGCCCTGAAGATGCAGTGGCCTCCAGGTGGCTCTCACACCATGACAAAGGTCGACTGGACCTGTGCTCCTTCCTCATCTCTCCTACCGGTGTTCATAGGTCACAGACCAGGATACAAGACAGTCTAAGACGCAGCAGGACTGGGGCTGACCCCACAGCTCACTGTTAGGCCTGTGGCCACTCAAGGCTAAAGAGTCGTTCCAGCCTGGGGACAGAGAGTGGAAAAGTACAGGGCTGGCTGGGCAGCGGCACTTGAGCATAACGGCTCCGTGCTGTCCCCGTGTGTTCACAGGACCTACACGCCTCTAAAGTGTGCTTGCTGGGCACAGTGGACAACAGGCACTGCCCTTGGTTGTGAGAGGGAGCCACCGCAGAGTCACCCGGTCCCTGCACACTGGAGAACAAAGGACCTCTGTGACGAAGAGACCAGAGGGACTGAGCCAAGTGTCACTTGGAAAGGACTGACTGGCCACTGGAGTAAGAGGAGACAAGAAGGTAGAGGCATCTGGGACTTTTGGGGTCTAAGGACACCCTCAGAGCCCTCCAGAAGCACCATGTGTCCAAACAGGCAGGCAGGCCAGGTCCTCGGGGCCAGAGACAATGAGCTATGTAATCAGGAACAGAAAAGGATACCCGAGACACAGCCATGTTATCACGCAGCCGAGGACTGGCTGGAGAGGACCCGAGCACATCTCCACAGCCCCGCAATACTGGTTAGGCTGGTGGCTCGGGACTTTTTCCCCCAGGGCATGGCATTAGCCCAGCCCTGCACAGCAGGAGCAAGGACCCTTCCCCCTTTTTCTCCACTTGTACAAGCAATAAAAACGACCCCTGCAAGGGAGTCATCCGTCGGAGGGACACACTCACCCGGTTAAAGCGCTTGGCTTGGAAGAGGTGGCCGTTGGCGCGGTATAGCTTCCTCCATCTTCTGGCCCCGCGGCGGTAGATGGATTCTAGAGAGGATGTAAAATCGGGTAAGGAAGTAGTATTATAATGCAGGAGCCCGGGCCCCGAACCCAAGGTATAGATGGGGACGAGCCATTCTCGGCCGGGTTGGCTAAGGCTGCAGTCCTGGCTGGGGGATGCCAGAACTAAAACGGCAGCTTTTCCGGGTAAAGGCTCCTTTCACCTTTCCTCACATGACTCTTGTGTTCTCAAAGCTGTGGCTGCTGGAGCCGGCCGCGCAGGTGGGAGAGGCCCTGCACAGTAGCGGAGATACCCGGCATCCGGCGGGAACAGGCAGGATACGGCGGTCAGGATATCAGGTCCTCTGTCCTGGGCCACTCAGTTCCCTGACTGCTTATTCCCTGCTGGTTTTCCTTTACCCTCCTTCCCTCTGGGCAGCTTCTAAAAACCAGGCCCTTTTTTCCACACAGGGACAAGGTTCAAATGGACCATGATATTTACATACGACCATCCAAGGAGGGAAAGTGGAGGGCTAGGCTGGAGGCTAAAGTCAGCCCGTGCACCAGTACCGTCTTGGTGACTCAAACAGGCCCAAGGTCCCTCTAACCCAGCAGACCTCGGGGCAGAGGGAGGTCCAGTTTCCTTGAGTATTTTACTTTGTGACATGCACTATTCACACACAGAACAGCTCTTTTTTAAAAAACTCCACTAAGGTTCCGACCAGAACCGTACATAGCCTGATGGTTTCCATTCCACGACCCCCAAGTGCCACAAGGGCCAGCACACAGAGACAAAACCTCCAGAAACACAAGGTACAATGGGACGCTTTGTGCTTTTATAAAATCCTGCAGCGAGAGAGACTTTCAGGAGCCGAGTCAAAGTGCTGAGAATATTCCAGAGTGGAGAGTGTAACGGAATGTTTTTAAAACAAGCAAATTACCAGCTCGAGCTGGAAACGGCTGAAATCAGGTCACAGGGACTGCAAAAATATGCTTCTCTCCCTTTAAAGGGGAGATTCAGTGAGGAGCCAGAAGCCGCGGTTGGTTCCTCTGGGAGCTCAGGAGGAACGAAGGCTGGCCCACCACACCCAAGCGTAGCTCCCTCAGAGGCCCGACTCACGGCTCTGAGGCTCCCAGGGAGCAGCTTGAGAGGGTACTTGATAAAAGCCAAGCACTGATGGTGACCCCTGCAGCCTCAGAGGAGACCAGGAGAGAGGCAGCCAGGCTCTGTCCTCTCCCAGTTTACCCACCTGGTGGCCTCGGGTCCGTGGGAAGGACATCCAGGCAGGAGGGGCGCAACCAGGGTCTGCCTGCCCCACAGTGACAGGGCATGGCCTGTCCCCCCTGGCCCACCCACATTCCTAGGGAAACCTAGCCAAGGGAGCCCAGGTCCACGCCCCAAACAGCCGGGCCTTGCTGTGCTCCTGTATGGCTCCCACCCATCTCACATCTGAAGGGAAGGGGAAGAGTACCAAGGGACCAGAGGACAGAGAGGTAAACTCAGGAGGCGACATGAGGACAATGTAGGACTTATGGGCCGGGTCCTCTTGTCCTGTAGTTCCCGTTACAGCACTGGAAAGTGACGGACCGTTTAATACCACCCCAGACTACACAGAAACGAAAGGAAATCTAAGGCACCCTAGCAGAGGCCGAGGCTGACCAGAGAGAGCCCCTCGACAGGACAAACTCAGCAGTGGGGCAGGAAGGAGGGCACTGTATTAGCCCCGGGGTTGAGAGCACAGAAATGACAAATGACGGAGCCCGGGCTCTACTGCTGAGGGATGCTTCCAGGATGGAGTCCCGACTACCAGCAGGGTGGTATTCGGAGACAAGGCTGAGAAAGTGTGAGAAAGTGATTGATGTAAGAAGAGGACGTGGGGGCGGGACCCCAGTTAGTGCCGCCCCAGAAGAGAGTACTGCTAGCTCTCTGAAACACAAGGACGCTCGAAAATGTTCTGTCAGAGACCCGGAAGCAGACTACCATGTGCCGGCTCCTGACCCCGGGCCCCCAGGGGAGGACAAGCTCCTGCAGTCTATGTCCCTGACAGGGGCCGTGTCATCATGGCAGTCAGAATGGACTAAGACCCTTGCCTTCCGCCACGCATACACCTGGCCTTTTAGAGAATGAAGGGGTGAGCGTGGACAGCAGGATGACAAAGAGCTTATGGAAGAGGATGTGGGGAACACTCTGAACCTGTGGGGGGAGTCTGAATCCTAAGGGCAGGGTGAGCACGTGTGAACACATTTACACACGTTTACAAGCGTGGGTCCAAGCAGAGATAGGGTCCCTGGGGCAAGCTGGCTACCTAGACTAGCTGAAAGGAGCAATTCATATATGCTATATCATGATCTATCAGGCTATATATATATAATATTATATACATTATTTACTATAAATTAGAGAGTGACACAAAGCCCAGTCTCTATACGTATGTACACACATGAAGGCGTCTGTACTCCCACATTCACGTGTGCTTCCGCACATGCAAATGCACACACACACACACACACATACACAGGAGAAATAGAAAAATCCACAAAAGGTTCATTCTATGTTTGAGGGATCAGACAAATTAGTATCACACAACCTGCCAGGGTATCAAGGAAGAAGGGCACCCGGGCCATCATTCAGGCTCCTGAAGAAGGCGTAGGTTGGCACAAAAAAACCAGGTCTGTGAAGAGGAACACTTGCTCTTGTGGTGCAGAAATTCCATCACTCCTTGATCAGCCTGTGGAGGGGTCCCACAGTGGCTTCCCAAGCATCTAAGAATGCTGCAAGCCAGGTGTGGTGCACACCTGTAATCCTAGCACTGAGGAGGCAGAGGCGAGAAAATGGAAAGTCAGGGCTACCCTGGGCTACAAAAGGACTCTTTAAACAAACAAACAAAAAAACCCAACCAAACAAAAACAACGATTTTCTTGGTTTTGTTTTGTTCAAAATAGGGTTCTCTTTGTAGCCCCCTGGCTGTCCTGAAACCTGCTCTGTAGACCAGGCTGGCCATGAACTCAGAGATCCACCTGTTCTGCCTCCCAAGTGCTGCGATTAAAGGCATGTGCCATCACCTCCTGGAAACAATAATGGAGCACACCTTTAATATCAGCACTCAGGAGACAGAGGTAGGTAGATCTCTGTGAGTTCAGGGTCAGCCTTGTAAGTGCAAGTTCTAGGACAGGCAAGGCTACACAGAGAAAACTGTCTCAAGGAAACAAGAAAAGAAATAGATTTATTTATTTAGTATGTGCATAGAAGCATGTGCACACCACAGCACACATGTAAGCTGGAGGACAACCTGAAGGAGCTGGTCCTCTTCTGTCACCATGTGAATTCTGGGGACCAAACTCGGGTCTGTAGGCTTGGCGGAGTGCCTTCACCTGCTGAGTCATCTTGCAGGCCCCTGATGTCATCCCCCCTTTAATGTGCATGTTTATGTGCTTGAGTGGACACATGCGTACCGCGTGCATGCAGGAGCCCACACCCCTGGAACTGGAGTTACAGATGGTTATGAGCTGCTCTGAGGGTGCAGGGAACCAAACCCAGCTCTCTGCCAGAGCAGTGAGAACGTTTAACTGCTGAGTCAGTGCCCGCCTTCCACCGCACTTAACTTTAAGGATCTGCTATGGGTTGGGTTCATCCCCAAAAGCTCAAGTGTTGGAATCTCCATCACCAGAGTCACAGGCTGATGGCATTTGGGGAGGCAGCTGGGGTGAGGTAAGGTCAGGTGTAAGTGGGGCCATCACAGAGGGGAAAGACACAGGCTAGCAAGCTGCTCGGTCCCCCATGTGGCCCTCACCAGAGGCTGACACCCTCTAAAACTTCTGAAATAAAATCTGTTCCCTGCAAACCACCACGTATCAGGCACTCTGAGCAACGCAAAAATGAACCAAAACTTGTTGTGAATGGCAATTGTGCAGGTGGTCTTGGAAGCACACCCTGCACCTGCAGGCCAGGCCAGTGTGCTTCAGGTCGCTAGGGATTCTGTCAGGGTGAGTAGCCTCTGGGGGAGTCACAAGCACTTATAATGTTGGCCCCTTCACCTCAGAAAGAAAAGCTGAAACTGAGAGAAAAGAAGGGAGAAACGGGGGATTGAAATGGTAGGAAAACCACTGAGAGGCCATGACTTTCTGTTGGGGGTCGACCAGAAGGCCCAAGATGACCGTGCCCTCTCCCGAGGAAATGGGCCAGTGCTGGGAGATGTGCACACAGCTCGGTCCTGCTCGGTGAGGGGAAAGCCTTGTTATTGTCATTTTTTCAGGCTGAAATTGTTTTAAGGAGTTGCATATGGATGCCAACTTGACGAAAGGTAGACCTCTAGAGTTCCTGTGTCAATTCTGTCGGATCGAATATTGTTCTGGATGTTCCCATGAGGGTGTATAGGAATAAGGCTAACCCTCATTTGTAGGCGTAAGTTGCAAACAATGCCACACCAATTTGGAATTATGACCTTGAATATGGCCCTTGTCTAGTCAATCAAAGCAATGAGAGACTGCTATCCTTTAATAGATGTGAGCTCTGAGCTTGACATGATGCCTACAGTGACGGCTTTGGACCTCCTAGCCTCCATATTCCTGTGGGCCAAGCCTTTTCACTATATGCATCCTGTTGGGTGTCCCTAGAGCGCCCTGACTTACATAAGGCCCTCTTGGACAGCTTGGAGTTCCACAGGAAAGTAATTCATAGTTGTGGCAGTGGGTACCCCAGGTAAATCACGGGGGCACCCACACAGGTGCTGGTCCATGCCTGGGTCACTGACCGGGTGAGTAAGAAGGAATCACAGTAACAGCCAGTGATCATCACGTAAAAAATAAACACTTCAAATATTTTTTTTTACCATACTCTAAATTTTCTAAAAATTTATTTTATGTGTGTGTGTTTTGCCTAAATACACACACACACACACACATGTTTGATGCTCACAGAGGCCAGGAGACTGAGTCAGACTCCCCTGGAGCCACAGTTATGACAGTTGGGAGACAGATTGTGGGTCCTCTGTATGAGCAGTAAGTGCCCTTAATTGCTGAGCCATTTTCTAGCCCCTGGTATACTTTAA